TGCCGGTATTCAAATTAAATATTATCATTGTAGTGTTTGTATCTATTTAATAGATATAATACATTGTCTCATGTACACCAGTAGAGGGGGTAGCGACAGTCTGTCAGTCTAGCATTAGACGCGGTACGGTAAAGACGTGCGCCTACGCTCGGAGCTGTGTGTAGTAGTGAGCCAGTGAACCACAGATACTCATAGTTAGTTCCTTTTGTTAACTTGCGATCACTACAATCATCCTAACTGATTATGACTTCAATAGATTTGATAATCGTTTTTATAAATATGTTATGACAAAATTTTTTAAATATCTACGTGCGCAAATCCGATCCAAAATTAAAAAAAATTCAAAACTATGACGATCGGTCGTATAATCCCGCTGTCTATCCCCTGACGATATGCACCCCAAAGCTTTCAAAATCGGGAATTTCATTTCAAGATAAACATTTTGAACGTTTGCAGGTACTTCCAATTAAGTTCTACATTTATTATTTATATTTTCATGCATAAAGTTTAATAAAATACATGTATACATACATTTAGTATACAGAGCCGCGATAGCTTTAGCCTTTAGTTCTATTTACTCGAACAACCTGAGTTCGATCCCTGTGCCAGCACCAATGAAATTCTTAATTTTAAGTGCTGACTTATCATGTGCTCGGCGGTGAAGGAAAACATCGTGCGGAAACCTGCATATTTTCGAAATAAGAACAAAAAATATTTCGAAAATAGGTATATTATGTCGGGGATAGGCCGTAAACATCGCGTCCAGACTCCATTATAATAAAAACACACACACACGTAATATCACTTGGTTTACTTTCAGACGATTTCTAGCACAGAACTAGCCTGAATGTAAGCTGCAATCCCTTTTATATAAAACAACTGTCATTAAACTCAACATTTAACAACTGCAACTTCCTTTACAACATTAATTGAAATTACTGTACAATATACAGTATTGTAATTATGAAATATAGTCCGAAAATTAATATTAACATTATAATGAATTTTACATAACTCTAAATATAATAAAAATAAATCATTTTACACTAATTACTAATTTATTTTGATAAACAAATACCACTTTACAAAGTCCGTCCACAGGTGGCGCTACTAAGAAGACTTAAATATAATCACATGTTACTTATTACTCCAAACTTGTGATCACAAATAGTTATTTAAACATCAATCTTAAATGTAATTAATATTTTGTCACAATATAATCATTATACATAAATTTGCGCCATATGATTCCGCCAATACGCAGTGATGGACTATGCCCTGATACTCTCTGTACAGAGGAGGCCTTTACCCAGCAGTGGGATATGTACAGTCTGATGCTTTTATACATATAATTATGTATAATTCAAAGACCAGTTAAAAAGCATATGTAAGTTTTTAAAAATTTCAGCTACAGGCTGTAATTGTAATATTTAATAACTCTTGATGAAGGCGTGGATAAGAAATAGGTTTAATCAAAAAAAACTCGTAACAACGTGTGACTTCAAAGAAACACGACCTTGGGACGCCCTCTGGCTTTTGATTTATGTTTCCTCACAGAGCACGGATTCTAATTAAGAATTTTAAACTTTAGAGGTTTAGGTATGAACGTAAGCTAATGCTTCTACGACTGTACATATTAACATTTTTCCGTTTTATTGAATTTAGGCATCAATTTGAACCAATATTGCGTCGTGATAAACAGACTCAGGATTCGTCATAAAACTATTAATGTTACACTTTTTATTTTCCAACTTTCAGTTTGCACTTTAAGTTCATAATACTACTAACATTAACTCTTTACTGTGTAGGTGTACGATTGTTATAATTTTCTAACATAAAGAGTTTTCTATATTTTCTGTGTTTTCTATTTTGTATTTGATATTTGTAGTTTTTAGCGTATAAGAGAAATCTCTACAATAAATGCAAGCAACAGTCTTAAGAAAATGTACAATTTTTTAAGACTATTAATTACTGTTTCTAGTAAAGACAATTGAACTGCGACTCGTCATTTTGCTTCTGACACTGATCGGGCACAACAATCAAATGATACATTAGAAGAGCCAACAGCTGCACTTGCGCGAAGTCTGTGGGCATTACTTATTTTTCCCAATGAAGCAATTCGAATCGTCCTGCTCTTTTTGTTACTCTAGTTTTTGGCACTCTCATATCTTCTATTTTTGATTCGAAAATGTACCAGGTTTCCTCACGATGTTTCCTTTCACCGCTGACCACGTGATAAGTCAGCAATTACCCAAACTTGCAATTGTATTTAGGTATTATAGGTGTATTACATTACTAAAATCGAGTGACCAGACACTAAGCTGTAATCTATATATATATAAAAATGAATTGCTGTTCGTTAGTCTTGCTAAAACTGGAGAACGGCTGGACCGATTTAGCTAATTATAGTTTTGAAATATTTGTGGCAGTTCAGGGAAGATTTAAAGGATGAGACAAACAAATTATGGAAAAATTGCATGGAAAACCGAAATAGCAACAATTACATTTTCCCATACAAACTGTACCTGTCAACTGTGTCTGTGTAACCTGTCAAAAGATTTTTGAACGCGTTCCGATTCCTCTAGAAATAATTTATATGGCAAAACAACGTTTGCCGAGTCAATTAGTAACAAATATTTATTTTGGTTGCATATTGGAACCACCTCTAGCGTGTACAATGGCGTGTAATAAAATTGGCGTGTTGGAACTTGATGAGTTGCCAGTTAATGATCATAACAAACGTATGTCGACCATACTTTGAGTCAAATCACTTTTTTATTTTACTGGATTGACTCACACGTGGCCTTGACTTGTCCATTCCAGTTGGCGATTAAAAATATTATTTGGATATACTCGTTTGGTAAATACATTTCAACGTTGGATAAGCTCACTAATCCAACAGAGAATATCCAACCGATCTTACATTACTTTTTGAATGTGTGAGAAGATGGCAAGCGAGCTGTCGGTTCACCTGATGTTAAGTGATAACCGCCGCCCATGCGACATGCACATTCACAACACCCGCAGGTTTGCAGATGCGCTGCCATCTTATAATAAAGTGGGCCCATTTGCACATCAAATAACTAAGCTATAGGCTTAGTAACTATGTCGGTTATATTGATTTTTTTTGAGTTCCGTACCCAAAAGGTAAGACATGACCCTATTACTAACACTCCGCTGCCTGTCTGTCCATCTGTCGCCAGCCTGAATCTCAAGAACCGTGATAGTAAGACAATTGAAATTTAGCAGATGATATATTATGCCGCTATAACAACAAATACTAAAAACAGATAAAAAAATATTTAAGTTTGGCTCCCATACAACAGACATGATTTCTTTGCCGTTTTACAGATAATGGTACAGAACCCTTCGTACGCGTGTCCGACTCGCACTTGGCCGGTTTTTTTACTTACATTAAAGTTACGGAAATAATTTGCCGTTAATAGATTGCAATATAAGTGGCGCACGTCGTCTTGTGTCCGTCTGGTGAGTAAGGTAACCGCGGCACACTGTTAACAAATGTCGGCGACGCTCTGGCGGTGTGGACCTCCATGGACGGGTGTAATTAATTAACATCAGTTGAGCCGCTTACTCGGTCACCAACTTTTTTCATAAACAAAACTAAAATACCTGGTACAATATTTATAAGAGCACTGTCTTTAACCGACATCGACCGCACATATATCCCGCGCTACATATTAGCCTAATCGAACTAACTCCCATATATGGCCATAATACTTATATACCAGCCATTAATACTTTTTTCGGTGGATTTGAATAATTACAAAATTCTCACTAAATAACACTAAATATCATCAGCGCAGATTTGAAACAATTTTACAAAATTACCTTTTTATTACCATGGGGCAACGGTGTGATATCTGATCAATATGTGAAGAATGTGATCAATATCTGCTATCAACGAACACACTAATTCGTTGTGGTGGGCTTCCGTTTAATTCACTCCGTAAACAAAAGGAAGAACTATAAATAAGTAGGTACCTACTTCTACTTTACGGTTTTTCTGTCAGGTCGGTCTCATTACATAGCGGCATTGGCATTAAGCAAACAAGACGGACTGCGATATGCAAGGATAGATCAATTTTATTAGATACTAGAAATTCAAATTCTGTTTTTTTTTTCTTACTTACAAAAGATTGGCACAGGGCAAGTGGTTCAACTTTTGTACAACCATTTTTAAATGTTGGCAATACGTCGCGATAGTACATCGCGACGTATTGCCAACATATTAAAATGGTGGCCTCCGCTTACCTCGCTTAGCGGATGAAAAAGTAAGAAAAAAGTAAAGTATCAGCCTATACATATCCCACTGCTGTGCAAAGGCACTATGCATTAGGGCATAGTGCACCACGCGGCCCCACTATGTATTGGTGTACTTCACATATCTTCGATTTTTTTTAAATAATTTTAAAAAAATATGCAGGTTATTTCGAAAATATGCAGGTTTCCTCACTACGTTTTCCTTCACCGCTGAGGACGTGATAATTCAGCACTGAAAATTAACAATTTCATTGGTGCCGGCACCGGGGGTTGTCTCTGATTGCTTGAGGATATTGACTGAATTAAAGACGAGCGCCCGGTCACGGCCCTATCTCGGCTATAGCGGATGAAACAAAAATCTATCAAATTCAACAGTTTTTATTGGGTCTTTTGTGCTAGCATTCTGCGTGGCTGTGCTTAGCCTTCGGTAGAGATAGAACATTCGGGTGGCAGCAAAGTTATACGGAAATTCTGTTAAGTCAGTGGTGCTGAATATTATTATTAAAGCGTAGCCACCATTATTCTAATATCAGTACCGCGACTTCTTCCGAAATTTTCTGTGGACTAAAGTGTATCAATTTGCCGGCCTTTTTATTGGGTTACTTAACGTTTAGTCACCGCTAGTATGCGGGGCAATATTTAAGCGGTTGAAGGTTGGCGTGACGATCTTAGATAAGCTCTTACAAGTTGGCTATTAGTGGTCTAGAGCAACGCCCTTAACCTTGAGCGCCCTCGGCGGCATCCTGGCGCAGGGCGAAGGGGGCGATTGGTGAGGAGACGAAGAAAGAATGAGGGCAGGGGGTGAGGGAGGTCAGCCGTTTCCGTTCTACCTTTACCTACGCGGCTCCACCTTGCGTGCTACTCTGATGGTAGTTGACTGGACCTGCTAAGTTAAATGAACTATTTAAAACTGATATACACTAATTGCAGCATTGAACACCTTGTGTTAAACATGCGCATCGCCATGGTGAGTGTCTCACTCGTGTCGTACCTGGCAAACGTTCTTTTGCCATGTAAATTCAATATTTGGGAATTTGTTAATCAAATGTTTGGGATGGACAAATGCAAATGTCCATGGGCGGCGGAAATCACTTAACATCAGGTGAACTGTCTTCTCGCTTGACAACTTTTCTCATAAAAAAGCAATAAAACAATTATTAACAAATAGCGTGTAGTAACTTTATTATTTGTGTTTTTTAACGTAATTAACCACTCCAAATTCAAAATAATAGTGTCACTGGAATTGTTAATAGAGCTCACCAAATTTTTTTTCTGATGCGTAATATCTTTCCACACCCTTTCCTACAATCTTTGGAAGTAAATTAGCTCACCCCTATACTTCACGCTAAATTGCTTTTTCTATAATTATTATTACAATTAAAATTAAAAGGTAGTCTCTATTTTATGTAATTTTACTCCAATTTTCTGTATTGGTTTTTATTGATTATAAATTCTAAAATTTAAAATTATTCACATCTGGCGGGCGTCCCATCACGACCAACTTTACTTTTATTTTTTCTTTTAATTGCTTCTTACAAATTACGGTACACATTGGTAGCGTTATTTGCTGCTTTATGGGGTTGCTTTTTTGGTATATTCGATAAGTAGAATCCATTTCAAATCCCAGAATACTGTGACCGTGAACATTCTCAACGATTTCGGCGCTCTGAACTTCTTTGGAGGTAGTGCACCTTTTTTGAGCAACTACATTGACTCGTATATTCTCTCAGGTTATAGTGACGAACCCAGGTTACGTCTCTTGTAACAATACGTTCGAAAACACTAGTAGAAATTTCACCACAAATTCTTTTTTAAATTCACTTGACCACTCTGGAATTTAATTGTGGTAAGGCCACAAAACAGTATTCACTGTTGCATGAATGGACAGGTCCGTCCGGGTAAGTACCACGACCTCCCAGAAGACTGGCAGAAGTGTTACACTTCTGCCATTCTTCTGGTGAGTTAGGTAGCCGAGGTCCACTGTATTTAAATAGGGCAACGCATTTGCAACCCTACGGGTGTTATAAATGTCCATGGGCAGACGTTATCACTTAAAATCAGCAGTCAGCTCGTTTGCCAATTTGTCACATAACAAAAAAAAGACTAACGGAGGATGACGACAGAAGAATACTTGTAAACGGCCACCATTATTTCATGAATGTTTTTGTTTTTGAGGTTTTCCTTGTTTCGTCTGGAATTTAATAACAGCGTGGTCCGCGTCCGGTTGACCAAAAGTCAGACATTTTGCTGCCTTTTAAGTATACGATTGTGAAAGTAATAATGATGATAAACGGACGAAATTTTTATAGTTGTTACCATATTATCCAATATTAAATTAAGAGAACCATGGACAGAAACTACTCTCATTACTAACAAAAAAGTTCCGATACCGAGAATACATTCAACTCCCCTCGTACAATTCGTTCTCCCTGTGTTTATTACTTTTCGAGCAGCAATATATTACGCGGCTGGCGAACTACGCGTATAATTTATTTAACGCAGTTCATTTAATGTCCGATCCGCAAATGCGCGATAAGGCGGCGCCGGCAACCGATTCGCCGTACAAGCCTCGGCTAGACCGGGAGTCCGACATCTCAGACCAACTATTCATTTCAATGCGCCCACCACGTAGCTGGTGTTTCAGTGCATTGTACAAAGCAGTACCATGCACTGAAACACCACTATTGTTGGTAATGGAGTATTTATACTTTTTCATTTCGTTTTATGATTGCGGTGACCAACGCTCATGACTTCTTATCAATGTTTGGAGACCCAACTGCAGCCTAGTCTAACGAAAGTGCATGAGGACCTTCATATAAAAGTCACGAGCCTGAATCTCAAGCAACGGTGGTAGAGCCACGCAGCAGCCTCGGCTGTTGCACGAATGGGCAGGCTCGTCCGGGTAAGTACCACGACCTCACAGAAGACCGGCGTAAAGTGGATGTATGACAAATACTTTCGCGTTTCTTCTGGTGAGTGAGGTAGCCGGAGCCCAATTTCCAAAAAGGTTGTCAACGCATCTGCAAACCCTTGGGTGTAGCAGATGTCTATGAGCGGCGGTATTCACTTAACATCAGGTAAACCGTCTGCTCGTTTGGCAACTTTTCACATAAAAAAAAAATGTTTACCAAATAGGTAATCAAAAGTGATGGTCGAGCATCTGATTAATTAAGGAAACAGTTCAATTCGTAGCGGACTTTTGCAGCATTGGCTACCTTGTTATACAAAAGAAATGGAATATAACTTGTACTGTAGCGGATGAAACCTAAGACAATGCTTAGGTTGCTAGAAAGGAAATAAAGTAATAGCTAACATTTTTGTTTTTGGAAGCATTTGGTAATTCGTACTGGCTTAACTGGTAGAGAATACTAATAGGCTTTAAGTCCACCCTTTGTAACTCTTAAGTGTGTCAATAAAAAATGAATATATAAATAATTATACAAATTAAAATACAAAAAAAACAATGTTGAATTTCATAACGATTTAACCGTCCTTCTCCTTAAGATCAAACATTTGACTAAACAAAAAGATGTTAGTCTTCGGAGGATACAAATTATAATATCCGGCTCGATGGACCAAAACGATGGCCTCCTGAATTTGAAATTAAATAAAGGTTCGAAAGACCAAAACGATGTTGGGGCTAACTCCTAACACCGGTTATGATGAGATAAATGATAATAGGACTGATAAGAACACTTTATTACTAAATTGATATAGTTAAAATGATACTGATAATATGATATGATAATTATGATAATTAGGTATGATATTTTGAGAACGCGTGGTTTGCTTGATTACCGAACGTGAACTGATTGATTGTCGCGGTATATTTTAATGCTTACAACGGTAAAAATTGACTTTAGGTAAAAAGTGCAAACGAAGCTGTTTGGTTCAATAATGAACCGAAAATTGAGAAAAGAATTTTCATTTTACTAAGTATACAAATGTATATGTTTTAAAAAATGTGTACCCTAAATGACTAACATATTATACTAGCTCCTACACTAAGGCTAACTAGAGGAAGGTTGTGATTACATTTGTAGCTTCCAATACGCGTAGCACGCCGCGCCGCGTTGTTGCTACGGCCGCTATTGCGACGGTGGCGCGGCGTAGCATGACGCACGTCCCAAAGGTACGCATTTGTGAAATGCCACAATGGATCCCCAAGGTCGAGTAACGTTTTGGTTTGCGCAAATACGTACGTTTTGTACGTGCCAAAATGGCGAGAGTACATAGATGGTTAAGAAAATGTCGGAGTGTTTCCGTCGTCCATGGACAAAACCCGCGAAGTTCATACGTGTCGCCGATATTTGAGAGAATGGGGTTCTCATTAAACAGAGAAATTGCAAAAGACTTACCATAATAGTTATCTATAACACGGTTAACGCCATTGAAATATATAATGTTTTCATTTGCGCTGTCTGTACCCGCGTCTCGCACGCCCTGAGGTCATTCGCCGCTTAGCACAATCGGCTGAATTGTTTGAGCGCGTTACCTATACGAGTACATACGTTCGAATCCGGTAGCGCTGAAAATTTTTCGACACTCTGTATTATAATAAATAAAAAAAACCGCACCATAATCAGTCCATTCGTATAGAAGTTATGATGCAGACAGGCAGACAGATACACAGACAGAGGCGTCAAACTTATAACACAGACATTTTACGGGGGGGGTGAAAAACAACAGGCTTCATTGGATTGCAACCAATTCGACTAACTGTAATTTGTTCAAGCCAATGATACCTACTTTTACAAATATAAAAATATTTTATCATACTCTTGGTGTTATTTAAAGAAGTCATCCTTACGATATTGATCGGTGTTGCTCCATGGCACCGTATCACTGGCTAGGGGACCACTTGGCTTAACTAGCGAGGCCCGTGTTCGGTCACCGGCGAGCGCGTGTGCCGCGTGGCGCCTGCGCGTCCACGCGCCCACCGCCGTCCCACCACCGAAACGCCTTAAGCGCCGAACACCATCGAGCGACGGCGAGTGACCACCGACCCCCCCCCCCCCCTCCCCCCCGGCCCACACCTTCGCCCCCCCTGTCCGCCGTCCGAGGCGCTCAGTAGCCATGTGACACGCGATGCCGGCCGCCGACGCCTCGCCCAGCGGCGAGCGTCTCGCAGTCCACAGCACGGCCGGTGTGGACCGCGAGTCTCCTGCGAAGCGTGCTCCCAGCAATGTGAACGTTGTGCGCCCCCTGACCCGCGCGCTACCCGTGGACCCACGCTCCGTGCTCAATCCTCAATTCTCGCACGCCCTAGACGTAAAACTTCGCCGGCTGAAAGAGAAAGAGCTGCTGGAGACGAATCTGCGCCGCCCGACAAGGCCCCGTCTCGCCATGGGGGCGCTGGCAGCCTCCGAATGCAACATCTCCCACGCGGGCCTTCAGGAACGAGAGCAACGCGAGAAGAATTTTAGGTCGCACCCACAAATAAACACTGCTCTGTCGAGGGAGAAAACGGGAATATCGCCTCGAACCGACGAGAACCCGTCGCCGGGGCCGAAGGGCCGCCACCGGCAAGTCGATACGGAGAAGCCCCGTTTCGTGACCACAGTTAAAACTGGACAGTTCCTACTACCGCCGCCGCAGCTCGCTTACCTGCTGGGGCTGCACACACTTTATCCACCGGAAGAGAGGGAAAGGATTGTTTATTCTTATGCGAGCAAACCAAAGGCCGTAGCGACGCGCTGCAAACGTTCTCCCATCCAGAGAAAAGAAAACAACGCACCCGACGGAGGGCCCGACGTTGGCCCTTGCCAGAAACGGGCAAATCCACGCGAGGCGCTCAAAGGCGTCCGCGCCCTCATAGCCAGCGTGGCCGGCGTGCGGCGGGCGCTGCAGGACCACGACCGACCGTGCGTCCCCACCAACGCTCGTCGAGCGCAAATACTCGGCAGCTTATTTTATTTATCGCACTTTATAATCAAAATATTTTTTATCTTCAGCACTGTTTACCCATTGTCTGATTTGAATTAACATATTTTTAATTAATGCTAGCAATTTTCGTTAATTAAAAATAGCTGCAAAACTTTTTAATGTACTTGCGAATTTAATATTTATCGCATTGATCATCTTTCTCCGCTTCAGGAACTAAGAAGTTGACACAATTTATTGTAAAAAAATAAAGCATCGCAATTTGATTTATACAAAAATGTACACATTTGAATTGGCGATGTAAAATCGCTGTGATGAATAATAAAGTCAATCAGTTATTATTAATAAAAGAGACCCTTTGCAAAAGGCTTCATACTTAATAATTATATACTATGATCGTCTTACGAATGTAAGCGTTTGAATCCATCACGAATCCCAAATCATCATAGTATTCGTTTACTCCGGTAGACGCCAATGTTTTCACATCGACTATGCTTTGACGTGTAGAGTACCTATACTATACAACATGTAAATGTGAATGAGAGACCGAAGGGATCGCCCTCGGGGTCAAGCCGTGTGTAACGACTGCCGCGAATGCATGGCATACTTGTTCACCCCGCTGCCCCCGACTCCCCGCCCCTCTCTCCGCTCACCTCCCCACAGTCACCTGCCGTCCGCCGCGGCCGGTCAGCAACCCTCCAAAGATTAATACTCTCATCTAATCTCGCCTTATGTCAAGTCTTACAACGGATCAATCATGGCACTCTTTTGTCTCCTTTGCTCGCCGTATGAGTTTGAAAATATCATAAACGTTTATAAAATGTTCGTCTTTTTACTATCAACCCAAAATCTAACCCAATATGATAACCCAAAGCATTATAAAGTTTACAGAGGCATCATATCATCTATCCTCTGAAGTGCAAATAATAATATTGCGAATATAATAAAAATATAATAAAAATCAGTAATAGTCTTCATCATCATCATCATCATCATTTCAGCCTGTTTGAGTCCACTGTCGAACATAGGCCTGACAGACCGCCACAAGCAAAACAGCAATAGTACTTATCGATAATAGCACAGCGCTCCCCTTCTTGATATTCATAAATATGAAGGGGGTATGGTATGAGTTTCAGTGAGGAGATGGGACCGCGCAACCTGATGCACGAGCGACGCGTAGTACGCGGCAGCACGTACGCCGCGCACGCATCACACGCTGCCCACGCGCACGCACACGCCGCAGTGAGTGCCGTACATTTACATTACAGTACATTTGGATTGTCTATGTGGACAGCCAAATCGCCTGCACTCGTACCAAAACCTCACAACGCTTCGGACCATAAGGCCGGAGCCCCACTGCTGCGCACGGTTGGGCTACACACGTGGGTGCAAAACGCTTTAAATGAATATGCAGGTAGATAGTTACTCCCACGGTAGGGCACGAGCACGGTGCGAACGAAATGACGTCACAATTCACGCGTGGTCTGTTTCGTGCCTGCTTTGGCTGCCCCACTGCGCACTAAGATTGCGAGCTAGAGAGACGAGAATCGTGCGTCTTGTTCGTATTGCCCCAAGTGCGTGTGCGCTTGTGCGTGGCCCCGAGTGGGTAATGTTGCCACGCAGCTGACCAATGTACTCACGTGGCCACACGTTTGACGTGTGCGTGCATCAGTTGCTGTGAAAATGTCACAACCTGCAGCCAGAGTAATGAACCGACGTGAGCGACGTGTATAGCGTGCGCAGCAGTGGGCCTCCAGCTTAAAGGTAAAGAATTTAAATCGCCAGTTCTTCTTTTTCTTTTGTAACGTATTCTTTGGCCTATTACTACTTAAAAGTTCTAATGAACGTTCCACCCGAGCGAGGTATGTCTTCAAAATATGTATCTACAGTTTTGAAAACAAATGCATTTGCTATTTTACATATTTATTTTATTGAAACGAGCAGCGTGAACTAAAGGCGATATGAAAAATTCAACGATATTATCAACTTCAACTGTCAACAGTTGACTAGAAGTATTCTGACAAATCGCTGTAAGCTTTGGAATAATGTCATCGAGAACGATTTTAAACTCGACGTCGAACATGTTTAAGGTTAAATTTGATTGAATGAGCTGTCTCAATACGCATTAACTGCATGCAATTCTGTATGTCCGAAGTATATTTGAAGGTGATTCGAAGAAAACTATCGGAAAGCATTGTTCACATATGATTTACTAGCTTTTCACCCCCGGCTTTGCTCGGGTTGAAGCCCTTAAATAAATATCTTTCTTTAAATAACATTTTTTTTTAAATAAAAAGAATCATATGCCCTTTATAATACCTCTAAGAATCTGTTTCCAAAGTTTCATGATAATCAGTTCAGTTGTTTTGACGTGAAAGCGTAACAAACAAACTGATATTCACATTAATAACATTATAAAAGTAGGAATAGCTTGTTAACATACACTTTTTATGTTCAACTTTCAATACAGAAGAAGAATTATATTTATGTAAAGATGTATATGATGACATTGCACACCGGATGAATCGTTATGGCACAAAATAAAAATGATCCCAGTCAATCATAATATGATTTCCATCCCTTGTATTGAAGCCACATAGTAGCGTGAAATCTCTTATACCCTACCTATATACGAAATGGCGTTTCTTATAACTGTCACATACTCTAACTGCAGCTATGAATATATTTTTAATTACACCCTTATGGTAATATTTTTAAACTTTGAATGCCATATTTATTTATATCTATGTACCAAATTTCATTCAAATCGGTTCAATAGTTTTGGCGTGAAACCGAGACACAGAGTTACTTTCGCATTTATAATATTAGTATGGATAGTATGGATTTATCTACATTTCTTTGTGTCTAAATCATCAGCCTAAAATATAAGTTTTATGTTTCTTGTTCTGAAAATGGCAATACTTTCATACAACTTTTCATCTCCCTCTTCAACCCTTTTTTCATATTAAAAATATCCTATGTCCTTTCTCAGGCTCTAGGCCAGTGATTCTCAACCTTTTTTTTGTTGCGGCACATATTAAACGATTTCAAAATTTGGCGGCACACAAAGAAAAAGATAAAAATTATTTACTTACTACAACACATTGCATAAATAGTTTATGATAAAAATTTTAAATATACGAAATAAACTAATATATACTACAATAATAACTAAACGTTTATTAAGGGATTAATTACAAGCTAATAATAAAAATATTTTTAATGCGAAATTTGAGCTTCATGTTTTTTTGATAATTTCATTTATATTTGGTCGTAAAAATGACAATTCTACTCTCATATCGTCTTCTACATTTAACAATCTTGATCTTTTTTTAGTTTTAATGTTGGCTAATGCCAAAAAATAGTTTTCTTTTTAAATTATATAATTTAATAATATTAACATTATTATATATTTGCAAAATTTGGCGGCACACTTTTGAAATTTGGCGGCACACAAAAGTGCCGCGGCACAGTGGTTGAGAATCACTGCTCTAGGCTATCTGTATCCCAAATTTCATTGAAATTGGTTCAGTAGTTTTACAGACAGATAGACAGATAGAGTCACTTTCGCATTTATAATATTAGTATGGATGTAGTGATAATAAGTGTTCATAATGCAGAGAATCGATACATGCATTTTGGTTTACATTATTTCTATGGTGTTTTTGTCTTGGTATCGAAAAATGGGACATATTTTAATACTGCTTCTACAACACGTTTCGTCTATCACTTGGTTAATGCCGTGGTGATCAAATAGTAAGAAACTGCAGTGTTTATTTTGATTTAATAACTAAACGCAGTTGATAACCGCACCTCATAACAGTGGTCTTTTTTTAAGTTTGCTTAAGTGTTAAGACACAGACCATATTAAGACACAGTATATAGAATAAACGTTTTAAAATTTTTCTATACATTACAAAAGTACATAAAGTGAGTGCGTGCCGAATTAGAAATTTAAGTAATGGCTTAAAAAAATTTATAGCCATTACTTAAAAGCAATTTTAGGCAATTTTTTGCTCGCTAGGTAACTTTCCAAGGAAGAAAACGTACAAAAGAATAATTAATTGCTAGCTTATTGCCGTTTGCCAGCAAAATTTACGTAGAATTATTGGCGGTGACCTTATTTTTTAGGCAACGTTTAAAACAAGCATAATAATTATAAGCGACTTCAGTGCTATGTATGACGAAAATAGGTACAAGAAAGAAAATAAATTTCGCTTATATCCAAATTTATGAATGAATAATTTAAGTATCAGCAGTGGAATGACAGGTTACAGCAAGCAACTCTGATAAAAGTTTGATACAAAACAACTATGAGATTCGCCCCAATACCGACAAAGTCGGGAAGTATGTAAATATAAGGCCTGATACTGATACTGCTGTATTTTTACCAGGTTTAGCATTTTACTAGGTTTTGTTTTGGCACAATTCAGTTTACATATAAGTTATAAGTACAGGTTGGTGTTTAAAAAATCTGGGATTTCGGCAACAATGTCTTTGCTCGTGTATGACAGTGAAACGTTAACCTACATCCGACTTTATATCACGTTGGTCGACCTAACGGGAAACAGGAAGTTCACATCAAGTTGGCTATTTGTGGCCCGGAAAACAAGGCGATATAGTGGTGGCTCAGTGGCGGCTATGGACATAAGTCCACAAAAGAACGATGGGAGCAGATATCAGAAATGATACGACTTGTATAGTATATATAATAGATACGAAAACAGAGGATGCGCAACATCTGTCATAAAGGAAGCTCTTTAAGAGAGCCGACCCACAAAAACGCTACAGCGGTGAAGCAAGAGGAAAAAAAAATTAAACATCTCTGCTGCAGCATAATATTATCCTGAATGTTTATATATAATATAAAGTATACAGAAATTGCACTCAAATACACCCTGATCCATAACAATTATACAAATATTCGACCTGGACGAAATCTAACACGCGATACGCAAATAACGCAACTGAGATCTATCGTTTATTCGTTTGTCATCTACGCCAAACGAGTCGCTAAAACCTATTAATTATTTTTATTTTTTGAACTCACCTCAGACAGGGATTGTAGTGGCTCCGCTTATTGTTTGCAATGGATTTGTTAAAATTTATTATCATTTTCATAGGTTATCCCGTACGAAGTGCGACGTTTACCACACTAAAGAGCGTCTATGTGTGCTATGTGTAGGGCGATGGTGCGAGTAAGGCGCGGAGGCGCGCACTAGCGAGGCGAGCGGCGTTGGCGCGCCTAAGACCTGGAACCCCACCGCCAGCGCCCGGCCGGCGCCACCTCCCCATTCAGACCGAGCACTATCTGCAAGAGGTTGGTCTCTCACTATCCATCTATTGTCTGAAACCGACCTAGCACTCCCCCTCTATCTCTACCTAATATTTACCTCTATATAATATTTTATTAACTAGTAAAAGTTTAGTAATTAGTAGTTTAGTAAGTTGGTTATATGGTTGTTTGTGCAATTATTATTTGACTGTTACCGTTTCCCTATAAGTGTTATTCAAATTGCTCGGATATCTAATGCCCGGCGAGAAGATTTAAGTGTCAGGCCATTTTGTAGATTATTACTTTGTTACTAATGTATTCGTTGAATTTATTTGTTGTTATTATTTACTATTCATTTTTATTATTTCTCATAATAATTTCTTGTATTTACGCGATTACACATTATAAATGAAACTAATTTTACGGATTTATCGCGTTTATTTTTAATTTTTGTTTCGTTATTATGGTCTTTACTAGTTTAAAATTAGTTTCATTTATTATTTCTCGTCAATATTTGTGACTTAAATAAAACTGACTCCGGTATTTAAACATGATCAAGGCCTTTGGCTTCCCGAACTAAAGAAGGTTTTTTTTTATAATCTGTACATACTTATTAAAATTATTGCACACGGAATTTAATTGACTTCTATTAGAAATTAAATATAAAACAATTCATCTATGCCGCTCATTCAATGCACTCGGATGATTGATAATGCGAATGCCCTACATGCGAATAGAGTTCTAATAACGTATATTTGACCCGCGCGTCCTCTACATGTGTTTCGTCAGAGAGGACCTAACCAAACTGGATAATTAAACGTTAGTTTTGATTTTGTGCCCGTGCTCGCACGCCACGCCACGGACGCAGCTGTTTGAGAAGGGCGTGGAGATGGAGGTGGGCGTGCAGACGGACTTGTTCGCGGACCGTCCCGCCACGCCGCTCTACGTGCCAGCCAAAACGGGCGCCGACGCGCACACCCAGATTTACCCGGGAGATGTAAGTAAAAACTCTTATTTACTTAAAAAATATACCTAGAAAGTGTTCTTTGAAGACTGGCGAGAAGATTTATTTCTTTGTGGATTCTGTAACAACACACCTAACTCCATGCTCGTTCGTTCGTTTATTCCTAAATTACGAATACTTATACATCTTCACATAATTTTGTTATGTCACATATTATGAAAAGGTAAATTTTGCTGCTACATTGTGTTAGTGAATTTGTCTTCCCTGTAACTGTTCCTTTCAATTAAGTGAAAGCAACGTTTCAGTGACCTCAAAAATTAAAACATGGATAATTATACAACTTTGGCATACTATATCTATCTATCTATATAGGTAATATATATAAATGAATTGCGGTTCGTTAGTTCCGCTAAAACTCGAGAACGGCTCGTCCATTCTAACTAATTTTGGCTTCGAAATATTTGTGGCAGTCCAGGGAAGGTTGATGGAAATTATGGAAAAATTGCATGGAAAATACATAATAGGAACTAGCAACAATTTCATTTTCCCATACAAACTGTTCCTACCTGTGAAACATTTTAATATGATATGATATGATATTTATTTATTTCTATAATAATATCAGTACAGAGCATTTACATCTAATTAATGTTAGTTACAGTGAGAAAAAGACACTGAGCACACTGTGGCTCCCAAACTAGGCAGTGCCTGTATCTTGGGAGTCGTAGTGCGCTTCATATAAAACATAAAACATAAAAAGTGAAATTATATGGACGGTACTTTAGGTAAGTTATATTTTAAAAATGAAATAAAAAAGCAGGTTAAGAGAGCACGAAGTATTGTGCGCGCGCGCATGTGTGTGTGTGTGTGTGTGTGTGTACAATAGCCTGATAGTCATCTCTTAGTTTTACTCCCTTGTGCACTAGTAAGTAAGCACAAAACACTTTATCTACACAATTAGTTTGTAATGGAAAAACCATTCCACTTCCAGTAATTCCTTTTTTGTAATAAAGCACATAATTTTAGAAAATGTGATTGCTGTAAAGTGAATTTTAAATTGAAAATAATGGTACTTATTCATATTACAATTTGATCTGGGTCAAAACTAATTTCCCCAATCGTAGGACGAACCAGTTTATCCTATCGCATATATGATGAACTGCGTAGGCCTTGGAAAAAGGATGGGCCGGTAACATGTATGTATTCGCATAATAATAATAATAATAATAATAATCCGTGGGCAGCTGTTCGACTTCGACGTGGAGGTGCAGCCGGTGCTGGAGGTGTTGGTGGGCAAGACGGCGGAGCAGGCGCTGGCCGAGGTGGCGCACGAGGAGGAGCTGGCCGCCCTAAGGGAGCAGCGGCGCCGCTTCGAGGAGGCGCGCCACGCGGAGCGCGCCGAGAGGCAGCGCATGCTCGCGCGGGACCTGCGGCTGCGCCAGGAGAAGGTGCGCAACGGCCTCCGATTGCCCGCTGCGTTTGCCCACCTATAGCAACATCTAAAGCGCTCGTGTCAAGTGAAAATTCTAAAAACAGTATCGTTGATATCGGCTTAAAAATTAAAGCATCGGCCTGCGTTAGTCCCACTGCTAGATAAAGCCCTCCTTCGTACAACCGCTTCATTCCCTGCGGGTTGGTGGACTTCACTTATCTTGAATAATTATTTTTTGTTATTTGCTGAACACGTGATAAGTCAGCACTTAAATTTCCATTTTCGTTGGTGCTATAATTAGTTAAGGCGATCGCGCGAGCCGTGATCTACCAGGCCTCGATGTCATAGCTTATGATCATCGTGTCCAAACGATGCAGGAGGCGCGCGTGGGCGAGGCGCGCGGCGCGCGGCGGGCGGCGGGCGAGGCGCGCGCGCTGGCCGCCGCCGCCGCGCTGGTGCAGGGCTACGTGGCCGAGCTGCTGCCCTCGGTGCTGGGCGGGCTGCGCGACCGCGGCTACCTGCTGGAGCGGGCGCGCGCGGGTGGGCCGGCCTCTTTCTACACCTCTGCCTCGACTCTGGTCGACGGCCAAGCGTGCTAGGCGTTATGTAGCGTTGCTATATTGGGACTTTGCAAAATTATTTTCGATGATTTCGTACTGAAAGCAATCAAAAATAAAAACACGTCACCGTGCTCTTTACGAAAATGCATATACATTTTATTTACAGGCGTTAATGAAGAGGTGATGCCGTGGCTCATAGAAGAAGTCTCGCAAGAGATAGAATCTATTATCACAAGTCGAGATGTTATCACAGGTATTTAAACTATTAATAAAATGCGCACTTCTCAGATGTTATGCTAGTGTTGTTGAATCTTAAACTACAGATAGCGGCTTACAAATTAGTGTATATATACATATTATATCTTTACGTGGGCTTAGACCATACTGACAGGACAGTACAATATTGGGCTTTCGAACAATAATTTTAAATACAATGCTCTTGTGTAATATTAATACAATCTCATCGACCTTCTGCCCTTGCCTAGGTCGACACGTCGACACAACACGTAAATCATGTTGTAAGTCAAGTCGCTTTGGCTAGCTTCTTAACGACCGGTGGTACTTGGCTTTTACCATGGTTACCGTAAAGATCGATACTGGTGCTCGACCTCCCGAAACAATCCGTATTCAAATCCAATTTACTACGTGTTATCTGGCGAAGTAGAACATCAACAAAAACCCTGCATATCTAAAAATTGTTATAAAAAAAAGGTTGAAGTCTACCAATTATCACTTAGATCATTTGTTTTTTCTTTACGTGTAGTGGGTGGGAAAAAACGTATAAATACTTATAATTTACGCGGGTCTTGTGTTGGACCGTAGTAGTGCTTACACTCCGTACAGTCCAATTACCTACTTAAACTCCGCGCGCAGAGATCGTGCGCGACGTGGTTGAAGCTCGGGCGCGCTCTAAGCCCCACGCGGCTCCGCCCGCCTCGCCCACGCCGCCCTCCACGCCCTCCAACGGCTCCTTGGCCGAAGGTAAGCCGACACACACACGACCACACACACACACATAAATGAAATAAAAAAAAACAAAGTCATTAATTCATCGACACAAGAAACATACATTTCAAGTCGTTCAAGTTGTATTTCAAGACGAAAGGGTTGACTTTTCTCCTCAAAGATTAAGCATAATAATTCAGCGAGGAAATGCAGCTAGCGTTTTGGCACCATGTCGCCAGGACTAGATGTGGTTGGACTAGGTAGTTTATTAGATTATTAGTAATTTAAGCAAATTTTATGTTGTGAATATTGGATAAAATAGTGTATGTATTATATATAAGTATTGTAAAGGCATCAAAAGAAACTCTACAATGATCTATTGCAGTGGCGCAGGACAGAAAAATAGAAATAGAAGCAAATAAACATACTAAACGCATATTGTCACGATCCTCATTAGTCTGGGAACGACAAAGAAGTTTTACATAATGTAATTGTTACTGCATTTATATTGTTGCACATTGTTTATGCATACTTTTAGATGATATTTGCAACGAGTCATAACGGTTCGAGGTAGCAGTGGTGATGAGTGAACATAAAACGTCCGAGGAGCTCGGCAGCAGCCGGTGCCCGGAGCACGTGCGCGCATTCGCCACGCCGCCACGTCATACCATCCCCATTAGAGCACTATTCAACTCCGAGCGGCACTAATAGCGCCGCCAACTAATCCCCTACACCCTACATACAGTTTTGCACTCTAGAAGCACCACACGGCGCCACGAAGTTTGCGCTCAAGTTTTATTCGCATTGCGAGTAACATATAAGCTTCTCGTCTGTTATATAAGGTACATATTTGGCCGTGTTCGTATTGAAAAGTCCGCGTTTTGCTTTTCTTCAACAATAAATGGCAAATGCGGTTGAAATATATGGGAGTTTGTTGTGTTTATTAAATCCTACCTTGCTCACTGACTAACTTAATCACTTATAAAATAGAAGCTTCTCTTCTATAGGTGTTTCGTTCCCGGTCATTCTGGTCTATTCTTGCGCCTTGCGTCTGTATAAACTAATGTTTGAGACTGTTAGTGAACTGCGATCCAGAGTAACACGGTAGGCGATAAGGGCGATTGTCGCTCGACGCCTCGAGCGGGAGGGGCCCCGGCGCGGCCGGTGCTGCGGTTGCGCTCTGTTAGGGCGACGCGGCGTGACCGCGCGGTGACGTCACGCCGCGCCACGTGCGCCCGCGCGCCAACACGCCAACACGCCAACACGCCAACACGCCGCCTGCCATTGCAAAGCAATTGCATACGTGGTTGGCGCCCGTTCCCCTGATTCATTTCGAGTGCGGTTTTCGATTCACTTGTCATCGATCATTTACATGCTTTGTAGTGAAAATTACGGGACATAACATATCGTTTAAAATTGATATTAATGTTAATGATTACAAAAAAATTGTTGAATTTTATGAAGAAATAGAGATGTAGACCATTGATCGGGGTGAATTTGACAATTAAATTTATTCAGGTACATACATATTATATACGTTTAATCAAAACTTTTTTATATCTCCTTAAATAACTTATACCCTTATCTTCTAATAATAGTAAAGAAATGCTCATTTACTATGATAATCACCATATACAATAACACTAAGGTTTTCTGCTATGGTAGTTCCTGAAGTGAAGATTGTATTTTCTAGCGGAGATTATTTTGGTACTTCAAACATTTTGTCTGAATGTTTTTAGTTTCGTTCAATACGTAGTAATAAAGAAATGAGCTGTGAGTTTCACAGGTGTCAACGGCTATAAAGCGGCGTGGCTAGATCAGAAGAGCGAGTGTGTGTATGTGTTTAGTATTTTATTTATTTCGGGTCTTAAAATAATGGCACATCGTAATCGCAAATGTGACCAGAGTTCTGCGGGGGCGCAAAACGAGCCCATGCGTATGCATTCAATCCCGCAGAGTTTCAATTACATTTAGATTGCAGCGCAAGATGCGGAGATTAGATCCGAATTAAGATACGGTTGTGCGTGGCGCACGTGGCTCCTGCCCCGCACGTTATACGCCGCGGCAACACTGCCGATCAATTTAACAATACTTTCTTTGCCATTCTTATAATCGTTTAATCGTTTAGGCGAACGGCGATCACAAGACTTGAGTTTTATTTCCCATGTTGATCGCTTTCGGTCCATCATTATTTGGATCGGACGTGACAGCCAGTATGTTCTTCGACCTATTACACTAATATACACAAGTAAAATATTTTTTTTAAACTGTATCAAGCTAATTGATTCCGAAAACGAACTGTATTTATTGAATAAGCGATTAAGCCCAAGAGATAATGGACAATTATATTTGAGTGAAAGGGTCCGTCCGGACTTGGGTGCCAGAGTCGCGCGCGATGTACGGTCCACGTTCAAGTGGCACAAGGGGTACGGACGCGTCGTCGGAAAGTGAACAGTGAGCCAACGGTCGTAGGTTCATTTTGGCTTGGCGCGCTGCCTGTTTGTGCAGCTGCGTCGCGTCGCCTCCGCACAATGCGGTAATGATGTAAAGAGCTTAAACGTTACTATTCGGATCACTCAATAAAGTTGAGCCGCACGTGCCCCACAGGCCCACACCGCTACAGCGACCCGCTCCTCCCGGTTTTTAATGTTTATCTAATTGTTTAATTGCACGGTGGTTTTCTAATATATATTTAATTTTCGTTAACGCAACTAAGTTAAGATGAGGGTTTTTGAATGATTTCAAAGGTTAGGGTAAGAATTTAAACCGATTGACGTGACATTGACGGTTTACGTTATAAAAATTAATATGATTAATAATTAGCGATGCCACATACACTGTAATTTTAATTATTGGTAAACAACTGGTGTAAAAATGCCCGCTTGATACAAAATGCTCACCGCCCTTTGGGGAATGTCGCGCGCTGATCAGATTAACTCGGCCGCCAAATCTCTACATCGCTTGTGCAAACTTCACTGAGGTTACCATGATTTTCATATATCAAGATAAAAATAACGATGTTGTATTACGATGATAACTATAAGTATCTAAAAGTCATGCATTACTCATATGTTATTGTGTCAATGCATTGATACACTCTTTAAATATAGAGGTGAACAGTTTTCAACGTAACGGCGCCACTTAACGGGCTTTGCTTTTGCCACAGTTATTACTTATTATCGGGTGATCCGCTTTTTCCCATCAAAATTATACATAAAATAAACATTACTGAAATCCTCGCTACCCTCATTCATTATTACAAATCAGAAATATTTTTTATGTAACGAGTACCGGCGTCCAAATATATATTTATGTACTCTAACATTTGCCAATAAAACAATTTTGGAAATCTATCGTCTTCAATTGTGTGTCTTTTTTGTGGCATTGACTAACCTGGGCATGTCCGACAGAATCAAGTGAGCGTGTGTGCACACTAGCGCCGCCCAGAAGAGGCCACGTGTCCCAGTTAATGCGACATTTATTGTTGCTCAATTGTCGTGTAAACCAACATGACACTTGAACCGTACACGCTGTCAAACCTTTGACAGGACATGAGTTTATACTGCCATTCTAATATTCTAGATTAATGTTATGTGCCTTTATACATTTTTGTCGAAGCGGACTCTTATCTCCCTGCACAGATAGAATTCTAAATAATTTACAGAATCTTTTATTGCTTCACGATATACGTCTCACGTATGAAACAATAAAGAACCCTGAGGATCAATCCTAGAAACCAACAGGCGCCGATCTCATAGTCATCTCCGTTTCTATTACATCACGAAGTTACTTTAAAATTAATTTCATAATTTATTTCCGAACGGAGACGCAAAAGAGCATAAAGTTAATAGAAAATCTCCAAAAATGAATCCTACAAAAGGATTAATTTCTATCTACAGTACTCCACTTTTATATCAACCGAAATCTGTTAACAAACAAATTATATAAACAGCAAGCTTAAAGCAAGCAACCTTTAAGTAGATTAAAAGCGTAGTAAAATACATTAACGAATATCCATCTTAAAATTTTGTTTATTATATTAATTAATAAAACAAATTAGTTTAAAGATAAAAACTGTTGACATTTCCAGGAATGGAGGAGTAGTGTTGGTGCCTGGTGCTCTCGTGGACAACGAAATCTTATCGTGTAATATATGATGACATATCGAGACAAGACTAGGAAAAACAGTTTCGGCAACGAATGTAATTTAAAAGAATTTTTATTACATTGTAATAAATTGGGAAGCGTAAGGTGAGTAAGAAATGTATCCAAACTCTGCGTTACAATGCGCTGCAGTTCGTGTTGTACCTGTAAATAGTTTTAAAAGAACAATTTATTTGTTGTAATATAGCACGTACTTAATAAAATTTTCTACAAATATTAAAAAAAATTAAAATATTGTAATTACATATATGTTATTATCTTCACAATATATTATGTAATATGTCTAGTGACTAGAAATTCAAAACTTCAAGTAAAGATTTTGCATTTTGTTTAAGAACTAATGATGTAGACATTTGTTCATTTAGTGAGCACTTGCCTTATTAATTTTACTAAAGCTCGAAAAAATACGGAAAATGAAACTTACATTACACATTTTTGAGAAAATTGAAATAATTTGATAATGTACAAATGTCAAGCATGCAAAATAAATTATTAAATATATGTCTTTTGTTAATTTACATAAATGTTAATTTCCTTATTAAATTATTAAATTTTTATAATTTTAAAGTGTTAATCGGAAATTTGAATAAATTTATTTGGTTTTATTTAATTTTATCCTATACAAAGTGATTGGGAAGGGCTGTTCACGATTTTAGAACGCATCTTTAACGCCCCAAGGCAGATCATGAATGAACTTTCAGTGATTAGGATTTCCTGCCCGTAAAAAAGGTTAGACTTTAAATCTAGTCCGCATTTAATTAAATAAAACTGTTCTAAGGATTTTACCGTGTTTTATTTATCAATACCAGTTATTAATAGTTTTATGTAACTATGTGTTGTATACGTGCCAATATCTCTATCTGCATTACGTTTGTAGAGGTATTCCTTGGAATCTATCCAATATGTTATGTTTAATTCCAAGTTGTTTCCTATTTGAAAAATAAGCACAAAAATTAAGTTTGTTTAGATTTTAAGCAAACACGCAGGCACTCGGCCCCACTGCGGATTTGCGGAATACACATCTTAATTTTATTTCGTTATTCGAAAATGTCACGATGTTTTACTTCACCGCTGAGCACATAAGTCAGTACTTAAAATTAACAATTTCATCGGTGCCGGCAGCGGGGATTGAACTCAGGTTGCTCGAGCATATTAAATTACAGGCGAGCCCGAGCGCCCGGACACTGAGCTGATCACGGCTATGAGACTATGAGATTGTAATAGGTTTTTAAACGAATTATTTTAACACTTGGATAAATAATTTCGATGATGTTATCAGAGGGTGATATTTTTCTCCGCGGATATTTTGATTGCGGGGTCGGAAACAATAAGCGAGGTAGTGTTAGGGGCGGTCGGAGGGCGGAGTGCCGGCGAGAGGGTCGCCGCCACCCTCCGCCGCGTAAATAAGAGGCGCGGGCGGTGCACGCGCCACTCGCACTCCACCTGCTGGCCAGGCGCCAGCACCTGTCCGCTGACTCGGCCACTGGGGCTGTCCATGAGGACGCTGGCGCGGCGCGGCCTCAGCGCCGGCGCTGCCTCCGCCGCCTTCTCGGCAGACCACCTGCGGCGCGCGCTGCACCGCTCGCTCCTCGCATCCAACAACGTAAGTCCTTTCACGTTATGTTAACCACCAAGTCAAAATTTATAATATAGTTGCGATATAGCCGTAGAACAAACCAACTCACGGAACTAGTATTTACGCTTACGCGTAAAGGTAGCCATATAATATATTCCTGACTAGCGACCCGCCCCGGCCACGCACGGGTACAATGTATTATACATATAAACCTTCCTCTTGAATCACTATCTAGTAAAAAAACCGCATCAAGATCCGTTGCGTAGTTTTAAAGATCTAAGCATACATAGGAACAGGCAGACAGCGGGACGACTTTGTTTTATACTATGTAGTGAAATGATGAAATTCGCGACGACAGTGGCACTACAGGTAGACGGTCTAACTTACTGCTGTAGTTTCAAGGAATAGGCAAACGGGCAGTCATAATTGAGAGCTGCCCAATGTTGGCCGCGTATGCGCATTGAGGAACTACATTCATCTGGTAGGGTTCAATTTTAAGGAATATATAGCATATTAACTTGATTTTATAACATACTTAGAAAGACACTATTGTGCACTGTACACATTTTATCAAATTACACTTGAGGTAGAAATTTAAGACTCATTAAAATGAGTAGTATATTAATACGTGAAGCAAAAAACTTTGTTCTCTTTGTTACGAAAATTGGGCGGACTGAAACGGATGAAATTTCAGACACTTATAGTTTATATTGTGGAGTGCAGAATACTAATATTTTTCTTTGTGCATAAAAATACAGTACCTGGAGGACCGAGCTTTGCTCGGTTTGTTTTTTTTTTTTTTGGTAAATCGTGTATTTTGGAAATTACATTTAGATACAAATTACTAAGTAATGAAATATGCATAATATGTTTCGATCTTACCGACGTAACAATAAGAAAATATGAATTGGTGTTTTTCATAAAATAAAGAACTTTAAAAAAAGGGAAAATAATAACAAAATAACAAATCGACAAAAAATAAAAGATAAAGAAAGCAATGATCTGGAATCGAAAATTCATTGTTTCATTTCTTAAACTGGCCTAGGTTTTTGATGAATTGACAACGGAATAAGTTTTTTGTTATATTAGACGAGGTGGATTTACGAAATCATTTGCATTTAGTGGGATGGTACAGATACTCCTGTAAGCTGTAGATCAGCCATGTACAACACTCAGGTTTGAGTTTATTCCAGCAATCGCGTTATGAAAGTTAACCATTAAAGTCTGAAGGTAAATTTGCCAATCATCCGTATAACATGGTACGAGTAATCAATTCATCATTTGCTTAGCTTTAAATAAACTGTGACGAAAGAAAGTGCCTCACCTTGGGAAACTCAACCTTGTTGTCAGTTCATTGATGACTGTTGATTTGCTGCCCATGATTAAAAAATTCCAATTATAGATAAAATGGTGACATTATATAATATGATATGATATTCTTCATTAAAAAAGTATTAAATCTTCATCTTCATCTCTATGAAATTCTAAAATATAAAAAAAAAACAAATTGCACCGTGTCTGGTACTGATTTATCGTTGTACGTAAACTTTCACGTAGCCTCCCAAATGTTGGAAGCCCCCACCTGAGTATCGGGCGTTTGCAGGTGCACGTGGAGCTGGATGGCAGCGGGCGGCTGTGCGGGCGGGGCGGCGCGGCCAAGGGCGCGGGCGGGGCGGCGGGGGCGGAAGGGGCGGAGGGGGCGGCGGGGGCGCCCGAGGCGGCGGTGAGCGCGCGCCTCGCGCCCGCCGCCCCCGCCGCCGCGCTGCTCCTCTGCGCGTCCACGGCTGCCCCCGCAGGCTCCTTCCTGCGCCTGCGTCTGCAAGCCGATGTTGCACCCCTGCAGGAACTGCAACTGTGGTTCGACGAGGCCACGCTCGCCCTACTCGACATGCCCGTCCTGTCTCTCCACAACATTCAAGGTGAGCGCCGCTGCCTGCATATTAGTACGAGTTGAACCACGCGACTGTCTTCGCTTGACATTGTAGCCCAGATGGACTGCCGTAATGCTTACTCCACCAGACTCGAATCCGACACCGACCATGGAATTTTTTCATATCGGCAGGAAAGAAGAATTACGTTTGCCACGAGTGCGGCTCAGAATTCGAGCAGCCGAATCCGCTCAAGGTGCACCTGTTCCTCTGTTGTCGGGAGTACTCTCCCGCTGCCTTCTGGGAGTGCTGCTGCGAACGACTCAAGCGGCCAATAGTCCCTAGGAGCTCGGCGTTCCAGCCGTACCACAAAGGCTCGGCAGTGGCCGCAGCGTGGCCGCTGCTGACGCTGCCGGCAGCTGAGCACGCGGCCGTCGAGGCCCTGGCGGCCGCTTGGGGGCGCGCGCGTGGAGCCCACGCCTGCCTCTACTGCGGCAAGCTGTACTCGCGCAAGTACGGCCTCAAGATACACATTCGGACGCACACTGGCTACAAGCCGCTGCGCTGCCGCTATTGCCTGCGCGCCTTCGGCGACCCCTCCAACCTCAACAAGCACGTGCGCCTGCACGCCTCCCGCGCCCTCTCCACCTCCCCCTCCGGCGCCGTCGCCCCCTCCGCGCCCCACGCCTGCCCGCACTGCGCCAAGCCGCTGGCCCGCAGGCGCGACCTCGAGCGCCACCTTCGAGCGCGGCACGCCCACCCCCCGCAACCCTCCCACTCGCCACCGGCCTCCTAGCATCGTCTTCGAAAAATTATACATATAGTTTGGTTAAAGTGTAAATATGAAATATACGCATGTTGGTCAATTGCCTTGTATCATTTGTTACGAAATGTACTATTTAGTATTGTCCCCAAGCACATAAGAAAGAAAGAAGAAAGAAAGAAAGAAATATTTATTTGGTACATAACAAACAAAACATAAAATAAAAACAAAATAAAAATAACAATTAAAATTTAGAAATCACAACTTGAAGTCAATGTACCAAAAAGGTCACCACTCAGCATTACATCGCAAAAAAGAGAAGATATTTTTGCGATTACTGATTTTCAGTGGAGCCTGGAGAGATTGATAGATGACGACTTTAACAACAATAATAACATAGACTTATAATTTAACAAAAACAGATTAATTATATACATAACAACAATTGCATTTAGCGCCTGATTGTATGTGTATGTGGGTGTGGTAATTTTTATAAATGATTTGTAAGTGGTAATGTAAGCTTTGGAATTGTATTGTATTGTATTGTTATTTGGAAATACACTCTAGGGTTTCAAGTGCCGGATTTTTGCATTGATATCAGAAAGGCTTTTAATTTAGCTTTGAAGGAATGAATAGACACTAAATTTCTTATGGGGGGAGGGATATCATTCCAGCACTTGGTAGCAGCGAACCGGAAACTACCTCGAAAAGCAGCTGTTCGAGACGATGGATAAACAAGCCGAGGCGCCGTTCTAACGGAGCGCTGAGAAAATTTAAGCTTTTCGAATAAGTATTCCGGTTCTTTGGTTTTCATAACTCCAAAAAGCAGCGAGGCGAGATGAAGCGTTCTTCGGGTGGACATGTTCATCAGGTCGTGACGGTTTAGGAAAGGAGTAACGTGTGAGCGCCTTGGGATGGGAAAACAAAAACGTGCGCAGGCATTTTGTATCCTTTGGATTATCTTTTGCGTCCTTGTATACAAACATTCACCGAAAACTGTGTCAGCGTAAGATAGTTTTGATAAGATAAGGGTTTCACACAACCTGATGCGCATATCCACCGTCAGATATTCACGAATCCGATACAATACTTTAAGTCTATAAAAACAATTTCGCATAGTTTCCAAGACATGTCCTTCGAATCGCAGTTTTCCATCCATCAGTAGGCCTACATTACGAACTTCTAATACTTGTTCTAGAGAGCTACCGTCAATACAGATCCGCGGAGTATGAGTTCGTATCTTATTTGTTTGCTTAGGTGTTCCGAGTAGCATAAACTTGGATTTTTTTTCGGGTTTAAAACTAGGTTGTTTTGCTTACACCAAACTGATATACGGTTTAAGTCTTCATTAATATTCGTTATTGCTGACCTGGTATCTACTGGTTTAAAAGACATGTATAGTTGAATATCGTCAGCATATAAATGAAATTTGGTGTATTTAATTGTATTTACAATGTCAGCAATATAAAGAATAAAAAGCATCGGACCCAGAATCGAACCTTGCGGTACACCTCTATTAACCGGCATAGTGGAAGACACTATTGTGGAACCATTTTCTTTGTCCAATTTGACATATTGGAGACGATTGCTTAAATAACTATTAAACCACCTGATTGTGGAATTCCCAAACCCATAGTACGCTAATTTAGACAAAAGCAGTGTTATATCAATGGTGTCAAAAGCACGGGAAAAGTCTAGCAAGACTAACAAAGTGCCCTTCCCGGCGTCTTGGGCCGTCAGGATATCATCCACTACATCTATCAATGCTGTCGCAGTGCTATGGGATTTCCTAAAACCCGATTGTTTTGATGGCAATATCTTGTTTAGCTCTAAGTATTCTGTCATTTGCAAACAAACAACCTTTTCCAATATCTTGGACAAGAACGGCGGAATACTTATTGGGCGAAAGTCTTTAACATCATTAGGATTCGGTTTTTTGGGAATAGGTTTGACCGATGCTATTTTCCACTGCTTTGGTACAATGCCTTGTAAGATTGAATTATTAACTATTTTGGTAATAACTGGGAGAGTCCGTGGCAAAGTATGTAAAATCATATTTAATGTAATACCATCATCACCCTGTGCATTTGTTTTAAAAGATTTAATTACTTTTAATATCGTTATTTCATCAACAGTGTTAAGATTAAAATTAGAGGGGCCGAACCTATCAAACTCGTATCTAGTTAAAATAGATAGATGAATACTGTTATTGCTGTTGCCGGGAAGTTGAAGAAAATGTTTATTTAAATCATCTGGAGAATATATTGAATCTATAGATGTTTCACAAAGGTTTTTTTCTTGAAATTAGCGACATTTTGTCTAATATTTTTCCATAAAAGTTGAGAGTTTTTTGGTTAAATTAATATAATGATTGAAATATATTTTAAATCCTTGTAATATTTTCTATGAACTTCCAGTTTGCTCATTCTACTTCTAAAGTAAGCCTTGTCGCGTAAATTCATCATTTCTTTTATAGTCTTTGTGATCCAAGGATAGGATTTTCTTTTTAAGTAAAATGATCGAATAGGCGCATGGTAATTAAAGAGTTCTCGTACTAGTTTCCCAAAATTTTCAACCATAGTGTTTACGTCACCCTCAATTGCCGCCTCCCATTCTATGGAATTTAAGTCAAGATTAAAAACAACTGCATTTATATCTTTTAAAGGCCTGTAAGTAATGATTTTTGGGTCACATTTGACTGGCTTAAAGGTTAATTTACATGTTAATAACGCATGGTTAGAGAGCTCAGGAATGTAATTCACGGTAACGTTACGAACCATCATATTTGAGCAAATTATGTCTATTAACGTTTCGCTTCTTTCAGTAAAATGAGTCGGCTGGTTTACAAACTGAACTAGATTCATATAATCAAAAAAGTTTTGTATTTTTTGTGCATTTGGCTTTTGTAAATGTAAAAGGTCTATGTTGAAATCACCAAGCAATATGGTATGTTCGTAATTACCAAGCGAAGAAACAGATTCCGTTAGCGCATCAATAAAGACATCTACATTGAACCATGGGGGTCGATAGGCTGTACCAATTGCCACCCTGGTACCGTTTACACTTAACCCTAACCACATTTGTTCTACCTGATCATTTGGAGGATGCTCAATTTTGCGAATTTTGATTTCTTGTTTTATATAAAATCCAACTCCACCTCCGCGTTTGCGTATTTTAGGTGATCGTGGTATATGGAGTAACCGGTAACCAGGCGGAGATGGTGCACGTTCCTCCTCCCCATCTTTTAGCCAGGTTTCATTGATGGCCAAGATATCTATATCAAAACGGGAAATTGCGCTAAGAAACTCGTCATGATGCGTCCCTAATGAGCCAGCGTTTAAAAACCCTATAGAGATTCTATTGTTTTTAATAAATTTTATAACAAATGCAAATATGATTTCACTATACTTACAATGCCTTATGAAATTACACAAAAGAGTAACGTGACGTTTCCCGAGCGAAAGATACGAAGGTCTAGTATAATTAATTTTATTAAACCAAGTGTAATTAAGCTTATGGTGTTGTTTGCGGGACGTTAAGTGTAAGCGATTAAAGTTTAAATGTGTGATTGGTTTTATGCATTGATAGTAAACAAACAGGCACTGTTGATAGATTCACAGATCCATTAAAAACATCAATAGCTAATTGCAAAACATTACAATAATACTTACAAATAATATTTGGAACAAGAAACCCAAGAGAAACACCAAACAGGTTTATAACAAGCACAAGAAAATAGTTGTACATAAAATTTAACCTTGAAAAGAATGAAATGAAATTTGTTATTAATAAGTGAAACAAGTTAAGATTAAGAGATATTAAAATATAAAAAAACTGCATTAAGCTAATTAAGACATTTGCGTCAAATATTGTTATAAATATTCGCATGTATTTAAAAAGTAAAAACAACCAACAATAAGTGATAAAAGTTTGAATAATGTAGTATAAGTACCATGTAATCAACTGGTAAAATAAACTTAATAAATTATTTTTAAAAACGAGATCTAAACTATAATTAAAAATATAAAAATACCTATATTTACAAGCAAACAGTTTTAACGGCCAAAAATTTTAACTATGTCGCTCTCAATTCGCAGTCGATGTCGGGGCTCACCGTTATCTTTTCGTACGAAAATCTTTTCCTTCTCGGGTCCATACATATTTCCAATGCATATGTTTCGCTTCTAAACGCGCTTTGTAGAAAAGCTGACGATTGTATTTAGTCAGTCTTTCATTGACGTAAAGTGAGCTCAAGCTGGAGTTAAGTCCTAGACCAGCAGTTGTAGTGCCCCGACGAACACGAGCTGCCGCCAACAAATTATCGCGTTGAGTGCGACGTGCCAGCCGTACTACAATAGGCCGTGGCCGAGTATTTTCACCCTGCTCGCGGCGTATGTGTCCCGAACGCTCAGCACTAACAAGGTCGTTCTCCTCCAAAGTCACACCCAGCTTAGTCGCAATGGCCAAAACAAGATGTACGGAACGCTCATTATGTTCTTCGGGCACCCCAGAGATCTCGATGTCATTACATAATAACTCTTGGTCTCGGTCATTGATATCCATTTTTAAAACCGCGATTGTATTCTCAAGAAGAGAGATGTCGCTGGATGAATTGGTTTGATGGTTGTTTTCGAACACATCCCTTCGAGCTTCAAGAGAATCCAGCCGCAGGTTGCAAGCGGTAATGGCAGTAAGGAGACTAGAGATAGTACCCCTAAATTCTTGCATGTCGTTACGCATCTCTTTTATATCTTGCCGTAACATTTTTAGTTCATTCGTCAGATCACTAGTAGGCATATCCATGATATTGGATGTTGGTGCTGACATAACCGGAGATTTTTGCCTCTCTTGAGTACGACTCCGTAAAGTCACATTTATGTTACAGGTATCTTCCTTTTTGTTATTAGGAGATTGTTTTTTAATTGGTGTGTTTGTGTTGCCGGTCTTAGGCTCCTTACTCAAACATTCTTGGCATTTCCAATTTTTTTTATGGTCTGAAGACATAATATTATAGAAACGCTTTTCTGATA